ACTGTGATTGGTCAATTTCTTACTCTTACTTCTTACTCCGTGTATTGTAGACGGGCCTTAAAACACACGGGCCCGTCTTCAGAACGCGCTTTTATCGATAAAAGCGCACTTTTATCTCTGAAATTCTATAATATGCGTGACGTAAAGTATGGTATGTAGCGTGCTAACATCGTTGTAAGCGCGTTCTGAATATGGGCCACGGTCTCGATCAGTCTCGATCTTGTGCAGATTATGGGTAAAAACTCAATTGAATCTCACTTGTCAGAATGCAAAAGGAACGCGCATTCAACTGACGTCACAAGTGAGAATTATCTGAGAATCGGTGTAAATGGAAAGCAGCTAAAATGTAATTGGGATTTCTTTAGATCGTATTTTTGACAGTATATATTATTAAATGTGGCGCTATTTTTTCTTCATCTGTTGCCATTCTGCGTTTTGTCAACATGTCATCATACATGTACCAGCGAATTGTGTTATAAATATATGCTGTGTAATTTAAAAAAAAAAAACTCCGGCGCCACGTCTATTCTACTAGCATGACCGCCATGACCTCGCCGCGGTAAATTTAGGAACGCACTTGGCACAATCACCTGTGCATATCTGCGACAGTGACAGCAGAACCGGTGCATTTTTCAACGTTTTGCAACGTGTCATGTACGCAAATCTGATTTGCATCAGAAACTGACGAGCGTGGATTTATCTCCCCGTGCTCCTTTTTCACGTTCAGTCGCCTCGTGCATCTTCAAAGGTAGTGGCGATCTTGGCGATTTTAAATTGAGACAGTTCTAGAAGGTTCGCGTGAAAAAACAAAAATTCTTGAATCGACGAATGCTTTGAAACATGCATGACGAATACGATTACACTCTGCGATTGTATCGCGTCGATTAAAACGTGCTAATGTTTCTGTCAGAATATAAGAAATATTCAAATCGCTATGACCTTTTAAAAAATTTAATTGTCACTCTCTTCAGCAATTTAACGCTATTCGGAGATTTATACATACCTTTTCAATATATCATTGGATATTTTTTACTTGAAAAACAGATGAACACTTGTCTTAATACAATCGAGTAGACGAATGAATGCTTGTCTTAATATAGTTGTGTTAATTTGCAGCTGTAAAATATGCGGCAATTAAAGGGGAAAACGAAAGAGACGAATAAACAGAAGAAAGAGCGGAAAAAGGAGTTTCTTGAGAACAAGCAGAGAGTGTTCACGGTTGTGTTGCCTACCATAGCTGCGATATTTGTGATAATAGCAGCATATATCTATGTTAAAACCCGTCCAAAACTCATGGAGTACTAATTACTATGCCACTTGTCATCCATTTATTCAGATGAGATGATTGTGCTGTATCTTGACAATGCATAGACAATTCCGTGTTGTATTCTCATGATTTATATGAAAGTTTTTCTAAATGGAGGCACATTCCACACTGTTCTCCCCAGAAACATTTCATACCTAAATCATATACTAGAAACAAGATGCCGTTTTTGCAAATGTCTGTATTGTTTAATTTGATAAGAAAATATTTTTCAAGTCAAGAATTATCTAATATATTAAGATAACTTATCAGATATAAAACTTAGAGGAGTCAATGTTTTTTACAAAAACATTACTGCATGAGAGAAGTTCGTTAATTATATTGTCTTTCTAATAAACGATCAAATTTGTTTATACATCGAATAGTGTACATAAATTTACCTTAATTTGAGTCTTCCTCGATTCTTTTCGTGCTTCTATTTAATGTGTTCTCGAGATATCGTAAAACTATATAAATACAGAATTTTGTTCATGTAATATTCTGACGTTTATTTTTTTACTGTATTGAATGTCACATGCGAAAAGTCCATATCTGTAAAACAAATTTTATTAATTAATTAAATCAAATTGAAAGATGTTAGCATGTAAAACATTCAAATAATAAATATGGGTCCAATGCGATATAAAAATATATTTGTTATACATAAATAGTGTTATGTGTGTTGTCTCTTCTTGCCTTCTTGCCAAGTGTTTTCTCGACTTTAAACTTAATTTAATATGTATTCCCATCATACGTAATTATAACTATAAGTACCATTGCGGATTCCTCTCAAAACGTATAAAAATTGATATTGATTTTACTTTTTGCGAGTACAACAAAAACAGGTCTTTTTGTAACATCCTTCCCTGGTAGCAAGCTGACGTCAAAATGACGTCATTTGACGTCAAAAAGACGTAGCTTGCTACCTGGGTTCCTTGATTATGAAATTAATTACATTTTAAATATTTTATTTAATTCGAATTAAAAATACAATTAATGTCACTATTAAATATAATACAAAAATCTTCCATTATTTAGCCCAAAAATATTGTAAATCATTTTAAAAAGATCAAAAAAGATTTATATTTTATTTAAACTTTACAAAATCTCATTTTAATGTATAAATTTATAATATAAATATCAATTATAATATCAAAAATATGAAAGAGGAATTTAGAAAACATTGTTGAAAGATTCTCGATATTTTTAGCAATTAACACCCTGCGAGGCCCTTTTACTTAAATTTGAATCATTAAAATAATTTATGTTGTTTCGAACTTGGGTAAACAAAGCAGAAAGACGAGTATCGCGCTGGTATCTGGACTCGGGACGCAGACGTCGCGGACACGTGGATGATAACCAATAGGGAGGCAACACGTATTCACGCCTCTATGTATTATCGCCGGTGACGGTTTCTTGCTCGATTTTATTGTTAATTACTGCCGAGAGCACTGATCCATGATGGATTACACGGTGCCTCTACTCTTTTCAAGCTTCATAATAGTCTTGTTTCACATAAATTATATTCAAGGTATTCTTTGCATTTATTTCATAGAAATACGATTGCTTATAAATGTAGATCAATAGGTTATGTTATTTCCATCACTGAAAGTGTCATTTCGTATCATATCAATATGTATATTTCTTGCTTGATTTTATTTATGTTAATTGATCATATTCACATTATAGTTAACGACAGGGACACTTTCAATTGCATATAAACGTTTTTATAGTATAATTGGCATACCTCAGTATCTTAATATGAATGGAACATTGTGTATGTAATCTTTGTCTGTGTATATCTCAATTTGATACATAAATTTTACAGCTAAAGGGACTCAACATGTAACATGCGGCTCTGTACTAAAGTTAATGAATGTAGATTATAATGTAAGGTTACACTCCCATGAAGTAAAGTATGGTAGTGGCAGTGGACAACAATCTGTAACAGGTACCAATGCCAAAGAAGATGGTAATTCCTATTGGCTTGTCAAAGCTGAATCAGGAAAACAGTGTTTGCGAGGGTGAGCTATGATTTATATTCATGTATTGATTACTGTAATTTTTACCTGTGCATAGACATATTGTGATCTTTTCAATAGGAGGCCAATTAAATGCGGAGATATTATCAGATTGGAGCACGTCGTGACAAAAAAGAATCTTCATTCGCATCTTGTTAGCTCACCCCTGACTGGAAAACAGGAGGTCTCCGCTTATGGGGATCAGAAGGGAGAAGGTGATTCTGGCGATAATTGGATGTTAATATGTCACACTGATTTTTGGGAAAGAGATGATACAATTATGTTGAAGCACATTGATACTGAAAAGTAAATATACTCTTCTCTATGGATTTTCAGTATAAATAAAAGATAGTACCGTTTAGGTATTTAAATGATATTGTGTGATTTAGGTACTTGGCTGTCAGTGGCAGAACTTATGGTACTCCAATTAGTGGCCAAATTGAGGTAGTAGGCGAATATTCTTCAAGCAGTCCTCATACACAATGGTCTGTGATGGAAGGATTGTTTATTCATCCTAATGATTTCAAAGCACAGCATTATCTACATACAGAATTATAAGACAATTTTTATAACAGTAATTTAATTTAATCTGCAAGAATATGTATATATGCGTTGCAAAGAATGCGTGAATAAATTTGGGGAAAGTGCATCATTATCAAAACAAATGTCATTAAGTAACGTTAATTTCTTAAGCTCAATATGTTTGTTATAAAACTGCGCTTTCAAGATTTTCAGGATTAAGAAAAAAATTACAGAATCAGTTGCTTAAAGTTTGTGAATACAATTTGGTTTGAAATTTAATGTAATATCTTCAGTTATACTATTACATTTTACACTATCATTGTATTTAAAATATTTATATTTGTAGTAATCATATGAATTAAATAAGTAATTAAATAAATTAAAATCACATAGTATACCAAATAATTCAGAAAGATAACTGTAATATCACTTGAGCATACATTTAAAGCAAATCGAACCGAATATAAAACATATATTCGAAAATAATTATTACGGAAACAAAATAAATACAAACAATATGTTTTATATAGAATATCTATTTACACATATTAACTTAGCCTCAACAAACATTAATTTCTGAATTAATTATATAAGGAAAATACGCGAATTATTTATTACACGATCTGAATTTACGCATTACAAGAATACTTCCGCTACTTACGTATGAAAAGTGGTATGCAAAAACCGTTAAGGAAAGATATCTATCTATAGATTTCATTAATATCCTAGAATATTCGATAATTATAAAATACGCTCATATCTGTGTTCTCTGTCATGTATGAATGCATAAGTATATTGTACATATGACTATATTTATTGCTACGTAAGTACATAATAAAGAAATATGTGTGTTAGATTTAATTAGTTCATTGTTTATTTTACTAGTCTCATACTTCCTTTAATTCGTACTTGCCATTGATATCTCGCGTGCCTACGAGACCGTTGTATGGAAAGATAATATTCGATAGACCGTAACTTCCAAAGATCTCCTTCAGATTTTGTCTTCCTGTTACATTAACATAACGTTGTTTGCCGGTTAAACAACTGTGCAACTTCCATATACCGAATACCAAACAGATACACAAGATCGACATCAGCGTATCAAATATCGTGACTAAAAATATGCTTGAACTATCTCTAGAACGCAGCAGTCTCGCCAAGGCAATAGGAAAACCAAAGTTCAGGAATATATTGAAGTAATCCGCGTCGCTCTTCACTATATGATTAATGTTCTCGTACATGTATGGACCCAGCACACACAGGGAGTACAAGCATGTTAGCGAGGTGTAGAAACAAAATAGGATAAAGTTGCCCATGTTCTGGCGAAGTATGCAGGCACCCAGGAAGAAACAATGATGATCCTTGAAGTGAAAGCACTTCTTACAGAATGTGCAGTGCTGTGTTGGTTTACACATGTAACTTTGACACTTCTCGCAGTGCCAAAACTTGTAGGTCGTGTTATGAGTCGGCAATTGCATACTGTTGGTCTGTTCGACCTTACGCTGTTGAGTGATCACGCTGCACAAATTATTCTGTATCTCCTTGACCTTCATCGGATTCGACTTACAGCTGATGCTGTACACCGAATACCAGTTGAGATATACTTGCATGCAGAGAAAGACGAAGACTGGCGAGACTTTCTCATTGATGTAAATTGTAATTGCAATGACAAATACAGTGGACATTAACGTCACTAACGGACATAACTGTTTAATAATTTTCAGGCAAGTTTTTATATACTGGGGCCGAGGCATACCTCATCGATAAATAGTCTCTTTACATCTATATATATGTATAAAACCAATTTTCAGACACCTATTCGAGCATGAATCTCTTCATTTTATACAATTTATTCTGGTATTTATATTTCTGAAAAGGTAATAAGTTCACCAGATAAAAAGTAAGTTTACGATATGATTCGTTTTTATTTTGATTTTATGCTGAGAAGAAATACATATTCTTCTTTAATATAAAGATACACAACTTCACATTGTTAAAAATCATCAACAAATAATGTGTTATTAATTTTCGTCATATAGAATCGTTCACTGACCTCAATCATAACCTCAAATTTATTCCCATACGTTTCATTGAATTCGGTTTTATTTAATTCAACAGGTCGTAGCTATCTTCGAGATAAACACGATTCTTTATAATGACCAACAGGCAGTTATATAGCATAATTTCCTCAAAAATGTTCGTATTTTTCACAGCAATAACAGATCTTTCCACTAGTGCATTTCAACGTGTATTGTACGTCTATCATCTATGTATACCATGTGATACATATGTAATTAAAAATCACATTGTTGATAGACATTAATAATATAAGCATATCGGTGCATATTCGTATAACAGATAATCACATTACCAAGTCTGTTTAATAGGTATTCCTTATATTGCGATTTTCTCAATATTTAGTTGTAATTTAGGCTTTCTTTTTTGTATTTTCCTTTCTAAAGTCACTTGGAAATTCTTCTAAACTTTTGTATCTCCAAAAAGAAAACCTCCAAATCTGATAGAAATTTTACTAAATTGGCAACACTAAACTAATTATGCCAGAAAGATCTCTCACTTCTAAATAATAAAAAAATATCTATATTAATATATTATTTAAATTAAAAAATTAGGCTCTTTGGAAAATATTTCGGAGAGAGCAGAATGGATGATTGATGAGGATTTAATTACAATCAAACAGATATATAACAGCTATATGCTATTTATTCTCACTATAAAAAAAACACGGGTATATTTTACACAATTATGCTTATATACGTTATAATCCAGCGTTACAAAACAATAACAGATCTATGTTGAAAATATGTGATCAATCATGATTAAAAACAAAGTAAAAACATAAGCAATTGTAAATTAATCTTAAGTGTAAGTGTTAAAAATTATTCGAAGAATGATATATAATATGCTTTTTTCTGAATAAGTATTTGGATAAAATCAATCAAAGACCTCATTTTATATATGTATCGGTATACTGTAAATTAATTAAAACGTGTAGATAATAAACAAAATTTATCTTTGAGTTTAGCTCTTCGTCAAATATTAATTTGAACTCTAATACATATTCTCTTTTATCTTTCTCTCTCTTTTCTTCTCTTAATATGTATACATCAATACAGACTTTTATACATATTGTACACATATGTAAAATTATAAATATCTATATTAATTAGTATGCCTATCTTTGTACATTTGTGTAAATAACAACGGTAAATATATCGAATGTATCACTCTTATACGAGAATATTATTAAAGCAGTCTTCAGCAATTATATAAATACCTAATAATAATACAATTGGAATTTATAAATATATATAATAGAACAAATCTTCTAAAAAAGGAGTGAAAAAAGAAAGCATAACAAAAAAGAAGAAAAAGAAGAGAGACCAGCAACACAACAATAACATGATCAAAATAATAAAAATTTAGTGAAACGCTTATGCTACCATATATTGCCATTCTTTGAAGTATTTTCAACCGTGTATACACATATATACTCTACATTAATCTAAAGAGTTTATCTTCTATGGAGTTAATCATTACTCGGAAATTTGAGTTGTGCATGTCTAAAATCACACACATACTGTACTTTTTTTGTACACTATTTTGTACTTTTTTTTAATAGGAATAAGAATACGTGTATGTGTGTGCGTCACGAAGCTACTGCTCGTAAATAGACTTCTGTAACGGAACATCTCGCTCTATATAAATCGTGTAAAACTATACAAATATATTATAATACGATTTGCGCAAGATTTACCAAAATATACTGTTGCGATGATGATAATATAATTCGATATTTTCAACAATGGAAAATGTAAAAAATATGATCTTTAGGATCCTCGCTCTTTCTCTCTTGTGATTACATTCCACGATATAATCACGTTTATGATGCATACATGTATGCTCGATTACAACGGTATGTTACTCTTACATTGTTTTTGGAGAAAAGAAGACTTATTATGTATTTTCTTAGCAATTTTGTGATTCCTGATTCTGTTATTACTCTGTATTTATAATTGCTAGAGACTAGTTTAACGATACTCTTGTATAAGAGTAGTATGCTTCACCGTAATTCTCCAATCGGCGCATTTTGAGACCACAATTCGTCTATAAATCTATATAAAGTATCACTGACAGCTACCTGTAACAGACATTAAAAAAAAAAACATATTTATATAATCTATCGTATTATATATTTTCGAGATTTTCAATGAACAATGCAGCTATCTACTTTAAAAATATCTGAACTAAAAATTTCCAAATATTAAGCATTTTAAAAAAACTGTAAAATTTATTACTCCAAACAATTTCAAGTCGAGAAATCTATATATGATTATATCAATCCTTAGTAACTCTCAAAGTACTAAAATTTTACCTTATATGGTGTTGGATTCAAGTTTCTTTTATGATCGTTACGCAATGTATTGAGAGATTCTTGCACTCTATTGCGAACCTCTTGCAAAGTAGGTAATGGTTGATACAATTTGCCATCTTTCCAGTATATCTGTAAGATATTTTTACTTATTAATTATAAATCATAAATATTATTAACGTCAATAATATCAATAATATGTAAAGCTGGTTATAAAATAACTGATAAATAGTTTATATATAAAAAAGCGCAGTTAGCCAAAACATGTATACGAATTATTAATTAAATACGAGAGATACAATTTAATATTGAAATTTATCGCGCACATAGTATAGCGCTAATTCCTAATAGCCAAAAACTTGTTATAATTATATTGAAAACTTATTATTTTAATTAGATGATATCTACCTTGTGCAGAGACTCCACTCGGGATGGTGTAACATTAGCCCTTTTTGTTTGCTGAAACGGATGTCTACAGAGAACCTTCTGCATTACTTGCGGTGGATCTTCCGTTGTTATCTGCAAAAGATCTATCAATGCATAGCCATCCGACCCGTACAGTCTATAAGCATCTTTTCTGCCTGGTATTGTGACCTTTCCAACTTCTTGACTCAGCTTGATTCTCGGCTCATTATTAATTTCTACCATTTTGTAAACACATCCCAGAGCCGGTTGTCTTTGGCATGTTACGAGATGCGTTCCAATCCCAAAACAATCAATTTTGTGGCTCTGGAAAATATTCATTTTTTTTAATTATACATTTTTTACATTCGCGATTTGTAAATTTTTACCTGCTCGTTCAAACTTATTATAGTCTCCTCGTTGATATCGTTGGACGCGCAAATCATCAATTTTGCAAACCATGGTATGTCGTACTTGATGGCGATTTTCTCGAAAATATCTCTCGCCACATTACTAAGATACGCTAAATCACCACTGTCAATCCTGATACCGACAGCTCTGTATCCCAAGTCGTTCAAAGCTAACGCTACCGCGCAGAAGTTTAACAAACCGCTCCTATTTGTAAAATATATATCTATGAGATATCTAAGTAACTAACACTACTTTAGCTTATCTATCAATTACAACTAAATGAATTAATTGAGAAGCAATCTAGTCACACACTTTTTATGCTATTATAATTTAGTAAAAATTGTATAAAATAAAGCCTAAACTTGGCAATGTATTCTGTGTGAAAATAAATTCTTTTTTGTATTTCCGTTTCTCAATTTAAATTAAATAATGAATTTTTGTCACATTACTTCTATACTTTTTGCAACATCAAATTTACTTCTTTAGTTTGCCAAGTTTAGAATTAAGAAACATTGCTCACAAAAGATTAAGCACACAATAAAATAACTACAACTACATAAACTTGCGCATTCACTGTTAATTAGTATAGAGTAACATAAGAGAGTAACAAGTATTTCAACCAATTATTGTATTGTCGTTAATTTACGTTTCCAATAAAAAACGTATATGATATTCTAACGAATATACAAATATATAGCCAATTGGTATATCGATGATATAAACATATGATAGATAAACGTAACATTTTATTTACAAATATATTTTTTCACTTTTTTTACAATATATTTCTCTTTGTATAATATTTTAATAGTGTAGCAGTTTTATATATTAAACTTGTGACAAAAATTTGCAACGAAATTGCATATTTAAATAACAAAATACATAAAATATTTATGTAACATATAAAATGTGCCCATGTCAATTTTCGAAAAAATTAAGGGGCAGAATTGGGAGGGGCACTATATAAGATCACAAATATATAGTAGCTAACAACTAAATTCTAATGAAAAATAAGATTTTGGTTATTTTATCTCTAATTGGCACGTCATAGGAGTAGCATGATATGATAATTTGCAATTTGCCCGTTTTACAGAATATTTGCAATCTTTTCTAAGTGAAAGGTAGAGGAGTAAATTAAATTAATATATTATCAGCTACTAAAATTCAAAGAAGCTTAAAATTGCCGAGTTCTAGAAATATATCAAAATAACTTTCTATGTATCCCATTAAATGCGATCTCAACTATTATAATATTACTTATGAAGGGATAGGCTTTGATGGCGCAAAAAAATTAAAATATGATTTGCAAAGCATAGATTTGACGAGAAAAAGGGGGAAGAAAAAGAATCGCATTCCGCAAAACAGGCAAACAGAACGATATCGTACCTCATATAGAGTTCACCCAATTCGCCTCGTCTTAAAAAGCCATTCTTGTGAAGTTGCGAAGTTGGTTCTGATTTAAATGGGTTGTTTCTCACACAGTTTTGGGCGTGTGTATTGGACCCATTAGTTAGAAGTTTATTCTTTACATTTAGGCTGGCCACTTGTGCCTGCCCCTTGGCCGATGTCTCAATGCTACAAACACACTCCTGTTAGGTCAGTGTGTATACGCATGTCGTCGTGCCTGTTCGCGACGCGCTGATAAAACTAAATTATAGAATCGCTAATGACATCGAATTAAGAATATACTTCTGTCTCATTTAAATATGAATTTAATTACGCTAATTACTTTCTATTTCTGTAGGTAGATGAGTATATACGAGATAAAAAAAAGAAACTTCACAGTAAAAATTATAACACTTGATTATTGAAATTATAATTAAGATTATATATTAAAAATTATATACAGTATACACTACATCTATGCAATTAGAAAATTTTAATTATGTATGTGTGTCACAAACACCCTCTACTGCATACATAAAAAAAAGCTAATACATGCATTGACATGCATTGACAGCAATTGACAGCAATTGACGTGCGCAGGTATACGTAATGTCTCAAAATATGTGCCTACAATATTTTAAATCATTTTTAAATAATCAATTTTAGAGATTTATTTCTAAAATATATTCACTTTTTGTTAATTTAAATATTACATGTACAACATAAATATTTATATATACTACATAAAATTATAAAAATATACACATACATATATATAAAATAATGAAAAGCATAATAAAGCTATTTGTAAAATATACGAGACATGTAGTATACTAGTAACATAAAAGAAATAAATATAAACAACAAAGTTTATGCAAGTCCATGCTTTGATGTAAAATTGACTTGAGTGCGCATCGAAAGAAAATTAACCAAAGTTTGCAAAACGCCAATTTAAAAAACAAATATTGAGCTTTCTACTTAAAAACATTAAATAAACAAGAGACATAATTACGTACCTCTTAACATCGTACGTGTCCACAAGAGCAGTGAATCTTTCCGGGAAAGCGACGGCATAACTAATCAAAGCCGCTAATTCTCCATCAGATGCCTGCGAAGCTAAAGCTCCCAAATCGTCGGCAATAGCCTCGCGATGCTTACAAGCGAGTTCTAATACATCTAAAATGTCACCCGTTTGCTTATGCGCCAATGTCTGTGAGAGAAACAGATATCAATCTTTTTTTCTTCCTTCCAATTATATTATGCAGAATTTCAATTTAACATTTATTAGAGTTAATTTAATTAACTTAAAGAAAATTCGTGTCGAATGTACCTACTTTCCCTTGCAGATCGCTGATGCTGGTGAAAGACGTAATATATGCATGTGCATGTGTGCCACATACAGGTATATTGAACAGCTTTCCAGCCAAGACATTACTAGTCCCATCAAATCCACCTGTAACACAATAAATTACTTCTAACTTAATTTAAATTCTAATTTTTAATTTGCTTATGTCTCATATATCCAAATTTATGCGTATTTTATAAAAATATATTAGCGTTTATAGTTAATGTTTATAGAAATATTTGTATTGTTTAATAAACATTTATTAAACAATACAAATATTTCTGATTGTCTTTAGTCCATATTTAAATAAAATTGTAAACAATATATTCCTCTGTTTGAAGATATTTTAATTGATCCGCACTCTACATACGTTCAAAAACAATAGCTAATTAGTTTCAACAGTTTCACATGAGACATATATGCATGTATGTATTGCGCGCGCGCATGTGTGTATGTATCCAGTTGAAACTATATATTCTCTATCTGACCTCCTAAATTGTTACTCATCACCTAGGCAGTACCAACCGGCACTGAGTGGAACAATGTATTGATTTCACTTTTCGCGAAATTGTTAAGTATAGTGTAAGGGTGATGGAGTGGTACCAGACACCTCCGTTTTCATTATATATTATATTATGGACTGATATAGGTATATTTAAGGTTTTTATATTTCAAACTTTATATATGGTTAATAAATAAAAATATAAAAGTTATTCAAGATATATATATTATGTGTAGAAAGATTTTATACATTTTATTAGCAAATATCAAACGTTATGTGCAACAAAAACTTTGACATCATATACTTTTACGCTCATAAGCGCTTTCATAATGTAGGCCATTGCGACATCCAGAGACACGGTAGTGGTTCGGCGCTAAGGAAACGCAAAGCGTTTTAGCGCGAGACACTGCCAGGTATCTACGCGGAGCAATGAGTTTTTGTACAATTACCATGCACAGTAATTAGCATAATGAACGTATGCAATACAAAAAAAAAACAACTGATGCCAATGGTAATTAACACATACAATGGAATATTTTAGATTTAATGCTAATTCTGAAACTCATTTTATGTAATAGTTACAGTAACCATTTTGTTTCAAACATGAAAAAAATGCGGTCTGTAATTTCTCATTAAATTCATAATATAATAGTCCGTAGACTTTGTTACACTAATTAAATAAGGTAAGTATATATAAGAGTGAAGTATTTACCAACATAGCTGTATTTAGATGCACTCAATCCTCCATCAGGTCCTTGTGCTCTTCGAAGACCAAATTCAAGTAACGTTATGTTTTTCCCAGCTACCATGCGATATCTTGCCGCGTTGGTCGCCATTAGACTTGCATAGTTGACCAATGTTAACAGAGTTGTTTCTAAGAGCTGTACCATTATTAATGGTCCTTCCACTCTTATCAAAGGAACTCTGCAATCAAAATCAACAATTACATCTAAGCAATTTACACTTATTCAAATAATTAATTAAAATTACAATAGACATTAATTAAATTGTTAAATATTTTAAATTTATTTATAAATACATTAAAAACTTTTATTCATATTTCTGTTGCAATATATTTCTAAAATACTAAAATTAGTATATCTCTAAATACTGACTTTTCAGGAGAGAGAATGAGAAAGATATTTCCTAAACTCACCTTGGAAATACAACCGATCCCTCATCTATAGCGTATATTGTAACATTTCTTGCAGTGAGACTTTGTAGATAATCAAAGAATCTTTGGTCTACTGTAGCAGGCATAGTCGACTTCAGGTACTTGATATCTGTGATACCAAAAATAAGATATATAATATAATTCATAAAATATATATGCGCATAGTAAGTAGCTTCAGCAAATACGTACCACTAGGAGAATAATGAAATTTATTCAAGAATTTTATGCACTCCTCAAGCCCGGCGAAAATCGTGAATTCTCCCTGAAAAGGATTCTTGCGGAAGAATAAATCAAATACAGCGTGATCATTCATTTTGCCACTCTTCCAATAGGCGTAAGCCATAGTGATTTGATACAAGTCTGAAAACAAGCATTGTCCTTCAATAAATAAGAAACAAAACTTAGAATATGAAAAACATTCAAATATTCAGTCTTATCTTAAAAATATTAGGGAAAACTGATAGTATTTAACTTACAGTATATTATCAGGAAAAAAAGGAAAAGTTACATAAGAAACAAACGCGTTTATCAAGTTTATGCCAAATTGTACCTTTAATATCCTATAATTAAATATCAATTACGTTAATATCGTGCTTTTTGCAGACGGAAAAATTGCCATGTCTCCATATCGTCTTTTTATCTGCAAGATTGCATTTTGCAGTGTATACCGAAGGTAACGCACGTGTCTTTTTGCATGTGAAAGTGGCTTTGTGGAAAAAAACAATTCTAAGCAGGTTCACACTAACAAACGTAAATATCGGGAGATATGCCAGCAAGAAATGTTTGTGTGTGGCTTACATCACCATCAGAATATTTACAAACATAATCATGCTTTTTATACTTGTATTCACGTGAGTGGTTATACGAGTGATACGAGTGACCCTTTCCGCTCGGCGAGAATGCCGTCGTGTACAATTTAGCATAACAATTCCGTATGCACTTTGTTCCCGTACGATCTTCTCGTTCCTCGCCATCTCGTCGTTGCGTCGAGGAAATTGCCAATCATTCAAGTAGAAAAGAAAAAAAGTATAAATTCTTCGCGTTGGAAAAACCGTGACTCCGCCGCTCTCGTTCGAGAAATGCGTTTTCGTTTCCATTTCCCGCGTAGATGATGTCCAGGACGCATTTCCTGAAAAGCAAGCATCGCTCTCTGCGACAGATCGAGTCTCTCACTCGTGCGGACAATTCGTTCCCGAGAATCACAGAGGACGAGAGCGACGGAACTGAGGTTAGCTCGACGCGCGGATGGCCGAGGTCGGAAATGGAAACGGAATCCGCGAGGCGCGTCACACCCCTTCCCTCCCTCGTTACGTACCTGTGAGCAGCGGCTGAACGATGCCGTTCTGCCGCGAATTGCAGCATGTTCCACCGTCGTCGTCCGTTGACATTTCGAAAATAGGAGGCCCGCTCGCGTGCGCTCGATCCGTGAGGTACGACTCGCCGCTTTCCCGATCTCGCCCCGTCGTCGGCGCTGCCCCTGCAGATCCGCTCACGCTTGCAGTTGCACACACTTTTTGCACTTTCTGCATCTCGGAAATGAAATGGATAATATTGCGCACACATACAACCCACACGCGTATACGTGAGGTTCGTTAGATATATATCCTATGTTAGATATCAAACTTGTCGCGTAAATAACCTTCGTGGACTCATTCCCGTCTGTAAAAAAACACAGTACAACTGTAGCGAAATATATATATAATATTAATATGATTAATACGATTAATTAAGTTAATTCGCTGAAAATTAATGGAGTCCCTTTCGAACCCCCCCTCCCCTCCTCCCCTCCTCCTCGTGTTGTCCCGCGACGAAACAAAAGAAATGCTGGGTCAGTTTATTCGGCGGGAAGAGCGAAAAAGAAAAGAGTGATTAACGAGGACGCGCGACGGTTGCAAGAGATGAGCCTTACTTTTTGCACAGGTTCCTCGCTATCCGATTAGACGGTGATCCGCGATCCGCACCGGCACTAGCGATGATACCGACGTGATAGCGTCGACTAGCATGCCTCCGCGCGAGTCGCGATGTAATATACGGCTCACGAGAATCGATAGGGAACGTTTGAAGGACGCGCGGCGGCGTTGGCACGGCCTGTTACACCCGCGCCGATCTCGCTAATTGCCAGAGCCGTTTGTCCGAAATTCAACCGGACAATCCGGGCAATCCGGGCATCGTGGATCGCGGATCCGGATTCCGAGATCCGTGTGCGTGCGCATCTCCCTGCTCTGGTTTTCCAGCGCGAAAGGCAAGATTGCGCAACTTACCGTTTCTTATAAGCTTATTCCATCAATATTAACCCAGATAGCACATAATAATTAGAAAATATTTACAAAGTATTTATAAGACTTATTTGAAATAATTTGCAAATATCTTCGCGTGGTCTTAAATTGCACAGATAACAAATATTTATTGTAAATATATGAAATATTTATTGTTGTAAATGTTATAAAAGTACTTGATAAGACATTAGAATCCAAGTAAAAAATAGTTATTATCAGGGTTGGGGGTAGTGCCAAGTTAAAAAGCTAAAAGTTAAGTTAAAAAATTGAAAAGTTAAATAATTTTAACTTAACTTAGTTACATTTTAGGCTCTCAACTTTTTAACTTTATTTAGTTACATTTTATCGATAACTATTAACTTTTTATTTAAAATTTTTGAAGTTAAGTCTCAGACTCAAATATATACTTCATTTAGAACATACTCTATATTTTATTTAAAAGTTTTGTTTGTATATATTATTTATGTTATATATTGATTTCAATCTAGCAAAAACCATATAATTTAATGTATCTAGTTTTCGATAGGTTGAAATCTATATATATATATATGAGCCGTTTATTTTGAAAGTAACCTAAGTCCATTTAAAAAAAAAAATGTTGTTTATGACAGTTAACTTCAAGTTGTACACGCTACTACAAAGATCAACAACAAAACATTGAAAAATGGACTTAGGCCACTTTCAAAATAAACGGCTCATTAATCCATTTTTCAGAGAATATCTATCGTTTTTTGTAGGAACGAATAGTCGAATACGAAAGATTAATTACTAGTTGTAAGAATTTTGGTATCGACTTAAGACTCTGAAATCATAAAATAGAAAGAAATTTAACTTTTAATTTTTCAATTACTTTTTTTATTAACTTAACTTTTAATTCAATTAATTTCATTATACGTTAACTTGTATCTTAACTAAGTTCAATTTTCAAGGTTGTTAACTTTAACTTAACTTAGTTAAAAGAAAAAATTAACTTACCCAACCCTGGTTATTATAAATATTTATTTATATTCATCCTAAATATTACATAAAATATTTAGTCTATATTTTAATAATATTTTAAATAAAAATTTAAAAAAATACGATAGCTCGATTTGAATAAATCAAAACATACAAGGTTGAGCAACGAGCCAGATATAAATACAAAAAGCTATTTATAATATTAGATTACATACAAACGTTTCGATTTCGATCAAGTCATTTTCAATGTTAGAAAATAAATTAAAAATTACAAAATAATAACGTCGGAATATATAAACCTTAACAAATAATAATGTCTGAATGTATAATTCAGGTAGTGATTCCGTATTCTGTTTGTTAATCCCGTGTTTCTGTCTTTTTATGTGCACCATTTCCGATATCAATCTCTTATTATAAGAGGGTTCTATATCCAAAATCTCCACATTATCCCAATAAAAAATGTAGCTTTTCTCTATGCAGTGGTTAGAAATCACCGATGGAGATTTGTTCCTCTTATTGAAATCGGAAATGTGTTCATGCACTTTCGTTTGTATAATTGTCTTTTTGTCTGACCAATATAACTAGTATCGCAATCACAACACGAGATTTTATAGGCAACATTCTGATTTTTTGACAGTTCTAATTGGTCTTTCCCTCTCTTTATTAAATTCTTTCATGTATTCGGAACCGTGTAAGCCAATTTACAATTAAACATATTCGCAATTTGTGCAAATTTTTCAGAAACAGAAATAACAAAAGAAACTGTAAAGAATTTGTCTTTGATTCTATTATTAATATTGATATTATTGTAGTTATTGATATAAAATTTAATCCGTTTTTTAATAGTTGAAAAAATCTAGTCTTTTGTATTTATATCTGGCTCGTTGCCCAATCTTATGTTTTGATTTCGAATAAAATTTTATATAAAATATGTCGAAAATATTTATATAACATTTCAAAAAATAAATAATAATAAATATTAAAAAAATTTATAGTAATAATTATTATCATAAATATTCTGAGGTGCTGTGTTGTGCGGAAGAAGACTTTTCTGTAATTCTTTAAGAGAGGATTCACATTTGCAGGCTTCAAAAAAATCGAAATTTTTTTTTATTTATTTTGATTCCTACATATGTGTAAAATATCCCTGTAAAAGGTTTTTTAAATTCGCAATATTAACGGAGTTATGAGCTCAAATACGTAAGGGCGCACTGGGCTTTTAAGCGCTTACCAGCGTAAATCATCACGTCAGAATCATCAAGAGAAGCCAGAACAGCTCGGAGATTGGAGAGATTGATGGAAAACCAGTTATATGAAGACGAGGAAGGATTATTATATGGCCCTGGTATTCCAGAATCGTAAGTGCACTAGAAAACTTGTTATATGTGGAAAAAGTCAAACCAAAACTTTAAACGCGTTTTTCTCAAAACCACATTTTTCGACCTGACGGAACTAATAACTCAAAAATGGATTAAGATGTTGACTTAATTCTTTTTTCCTCTTGATCCTAATACTTTTGCGCATCACAGCAACTAGAATTGTGATTTTACAACAAATATTCGATTTGTTATTCACAAAAAAGTAACAAATCTTTAGGACAAAAAATTAATTTTTTTTTTTAATGCCACCATTTTGACAAATTTCAGGCAATTGACATTATTTTAGTTCCTGCCATAGCGACACTCATATAATTAATAAAAATAAAAAGAATTTTGATTTCAGATGATTTGTGCAGAGTCAATATTACGTCCGTCATGGAGATGAGTTTTGCAGATGACCCCTAATTCGATCGTCATTTGGAGACATTAAAATGCATATTGGTCTAATTAAAAAATATTTTTTTTACTGTTTAGACATTACATAATTTCATGCAAAACGCCATATTGTTCTGTATATAATAAATTTTCTTTAAAAAATTCATAAAATTGAGCTAATTTTACGGCCGGCAAAGGTGAAACCCCTCTTAACAATATTATTGTCAATTAATTGTTGTTAATGAATCTTTCCTTTTTTATAAATGATAGCTGTAATTCCCCCCCCCCCCTCTAGTAACATCAAAATGAAATCAAAATGATTTTAAAGTAACTAACAAAAGTGATCGTTTTTTATTCAATAACGATTCGTTTTTCAACATTATTTTGACATTATCGTGACTTGTTATTCTGTTTGAGTTATATTAATTAAAAATGTAACGATTGATTACTAAATAACTTTTCTTATTCTGTGACCAGTATTCATAATCGGTTCTTTGTTTAATTTCAAATACAGTCTTAAGATGCCATAAACCAATCACAGAACCGTATTAGCATTCATCCTCTGACGAAAATAAAAAAAATTGGAGTATAACGCATCGTCTACAATACACGGAGTAAGAAGTAAGAGTAAGAAATTGACCAATCACAGTCGAATATGAGAAGAATAATCGACTGTGATTGGTCAATTTCTTACTCTTACTTCTTATTCCGTATATTGTAGACGACGCCTAAAATCAATGTAATGGGCGATTTACTCGAGGCAACTTTATTCACTTAAAGCAGCGTCTAGTAATGTCATAATTCGTCAGCAAATTCTCTCGATGCTGTTGTCATTCGTTTGAAGCAAGTTTCTTAATTTGTCAGCAAATTCGCTGAAAGCTTCTTCTGTACGCTTGTTTTTTATTCGCTAACGTTTAAAATTTTGAAGTCGCAGGCGTCGAGTGGTCACTTGACGACTTAAAAATTCGCTCTGGAAGAACAAAAATCAATGCAAGAAACTAGCGACAAACTAGTGACAAGCTAATGACAAATGTCGAAAGCAAATGTCGAAAGAAGAAACCAGCGTTTAGAAAAAGTTTTTAGTAGCGAATTCGCTATGACGTCACTCGAATTCTGTCGACGCTGCTTCAAGCGTATTAAGTTACCCTGTGTAAATCACCCATAATAGGGACGAGTAAGGGACTCCGCACATGATTTCTGATAGGTTGAAATTCTTATTCTCTGTTCTCTGTTCCCTGTTCCTTTTATTGTGCGGAGCCCCTTACAGAAGTATATAAACGGAGTTTCTAAGAGGCGAAAATTTGAGACAATTAAACATAAAAGGAGTATATAAATACCTCTTTTACGTTTTATTTTCTCAATTTTTATGTCCTAAATGTTTCATTTAACCTTGAACTGTTTATTTTAGAAAACATATTGAACAAAACAATTTTAAATGTTATACAGTAAGTGCAAAAAGTATTCGTACAGAGAAATTTTTTAAAAAACTTTATTTTTAAAGAATAAATATTATCCAGCGAGAAATGAGTCATCGAATTGATATCAAATTAATATAAATATGATTTTAACATCAATTTGACGTCGATTCGACGTTTAATTGACGATCATTTCTTGTTGGATAATTAACAATTTATTTATGAAGAATAAAATAGACTGTATGTTTCTTATAAAATTATATATACCAAAAAGATAGAGGAAGGTCACTGATACCGACATACCACTTTGTTTTTAGACAATATTTCTTAAACAAAAAGTAAAAATACAACTTCAAAGACATAAATACAAAGTAAAAAGTATCTTCTATCAGATAGTATAAGCAATTTTTATAACACTGTTTGCAATTTTGCAATAATTAAGTTTTTCGTAAGTTATGCAAAAATGAGCGTCTGA